CACACACACACACACACACACACCGGAGGTGTTCACCTGAGCTGAGGGAAACTGAGCCCCCACCCACAGAGAAAGGAAAAAGGCAGTGCAGACCCGCCCTGCTCTGTTCTGATTGGGTAAGACTTTGACTCTGGTTCTCTTTATTGGATGAAAGAACCGTCTGTTTAATCCCTAGACGGCTTTAACAAGTATTTTTTTCCTCTCATTTTTACAATGACGAAAACCCCCGGAGGGAAACTTTAATTGAGGTCTTTGTTTTCTTGTTTGTCCACCGGACAACCAGGAGGCGGGATCTGATTGTCCGAAACGAAAATAGGTTGTCTCAGACATGATTGTGTCAACCCGTTTTACGTTGATTTAAAAAAAAATAAAAGAAAAAGAAAAAAAAACACTTTTAGTCCGAAGGTGTGGCGGCTTTTATTTAGTCGTGGCGGTGCGCCACGATCAATTACATGTAGGGGAAACCCTGTATTAGGGATCAACACCCCACAATTTGTTTACATATACAGTGAGCCCTGGAAAACTTCTGATGTATTTTCACTTTTGGAGTTTACTGTTTGCAGGTCTTGCTCAATTGAAAATATGTTCTGCAAAGAGACTGCCTTTCAGGAAGATGTGGATAGCAAAAATATTCGTCCCACTCAGTTCACACTGACTAATTAGGCAATTTAGCACATAGCCACAGTGACAGGACCACCCAACAGCCATTTTTTTAACAAAGTATGGAAACATGGATTTCTGATATGAACTGCAAGCCAAATAAGCGGAGGAAGGTGGCAAACACCATCTGTGAAATCTGATGCCAACTGTCCAAGAGCTTAGTCACTAAAACGTTGTGAAAGATGTCAGTAATTACTTGTACAACAAAAATGTTCACATAGTTTGTTCCACAGAGGTGTAAATATAAAACCGTCCCAGTGCATTGAGAGTTTATTTTGTATTTTGTAAAAACTCCTTCCAATAAGTAGGAAAAATACAACCAGTTATCTCACCACTGTCCTCTGTTTGTTGGGGAGGTAGACTCGAATGGTGCCCCCACCTCGAGGTACATCCTCTGGACTAGTCTCCCCTGAGGAGGAGTACGAGGAGGAGGTGGAGGACATGATGATAGAAGCAGTAAGAACTGGGGTGTAGGAGGAGGGGAGGACACAAAACATAAGACACTGCAACTTCAGGAGAGCTGCATGCAGGGTGGAGTCCGGAGAAGTCCTTTATATAGAACCTGAAACACACACACACACACACACACACACACACACACACACACACACA